TCTACTATCTACTTTTCTTGTCCCTAGCATAACCTCAAAGCCCCCCGTGTCCACTAATTTCAATCCTAACTGATCCATAATCTTGTTGGAAATGAAGTTGTGGGTAATTCTACTATCCAATAGTACTGCCACCTCATGATGTCTGATATTTCCCTTAACCTTCATGGTGTAATTCGATGTGAACCCAACCACTGAGTTAAGGAATACCTTTGCAACATATAATTCCAGGTGATCATCTTCCTCCTCTACTGCCTCCTCTGCAGCATCTTCCTCCTTATCGCAAACTATTAGGACCTGTAATGAATAGTCCTTACAAGGATGGCCCGAAGAAAACTTATCATCACACCTAAAGCATAAACGCTTTGTCCTCTTCTCCAAAATTTTTTACTCAATCAATCTCTTGAAGTTCCCCCTAGTCGTACTCCCTAACCTTTATCCCCCATGGCTTCCTTCTGAATAGGCACTATCTGCAACTTTGGTGACATATATAGTTGTTGTGCAGTAGGAGACTCCCGAATTGCTGTTACGACTACTCCTCTCCAAGGAATTCTTATCCTCCACTAGCTAGGCTAACTCCATAGCCTCTCCTAAACCACATGGTCTCAATACTCAAACAATTGTTCGAATATCAGGCTTGAGCCCCTTCATAAAGTTCCACTAGAGCACAGTCTCTAACAACCTTCCCAATCGGCTTGAGAAGTATAAGAACTTCTTTTGGTACTCTATCACAATCCCCTTCTGCACTAGAGCAAAGAACTGTTCATAAAGACTCCTTCCCGACTAGTGTAGAAATGTTCTAATAGATAGTCTTTGAACTCCCTGCATGATCGGATTGAATCTCGCAAGTCTCTCCACTTGTACCAAGACAGAACCTTCCCCTCTAGACATAGAGCTGTTGCGATAACTTTTTAATCTTCTATTTTACAGCAAAATATCCGTGAGCATCTTCTCCCTCAAAACTGACATCTTCAACTTTCTCACCCTAAGATCGCTACCGCCCCAATTGCTTCTTCCTCCTTCAGTGTAGTGAGTATTGTGATCCCTCCATGTTTCCCTCTCTCCTAAATCAGCTCTCCAATCTTCACCATCCCAATTTCTTCGTTGGTAATACCCTTCACCCATTCCCCTCCTTGAAAGTGGCTCCAAAGGTGGCATCTTCTCTTCTTTCCACAAAATTTCTACCTCCCAATCCTCCCTCATCATCCCTATATTTGGATTTTTCCCTCTTCCTTGTCCACTCAATGATGCCCTTATCTTCAATGATGTTGTTTCGGTTTAAAACTCTAACAACATTTTCATTATCTCTTTAGATTCGAAAATCTACCCTCAATTGTTGAAATTCGCTCTCTGAATTTATATTTTAAATTTTCAGCTTCCCCATCAAGCCTCTCCTCCAACGCATCAACCTTCTTAGCTGCCATCAGTCCAAAAAAAGGTGCTCTGATACTAAGTTGATAGGAATATGATCTCCACAACCAAATAATAATAATAATGAAGAGAAAAAACAACAGAAATCAATGAGAAAGAATGAGATTATAGGCTAATTTTATTGATATCAAGAAAACAAACCAAGATAAAAGTAATCTACCATTTGAGAGGTAGATCGGCTCTCCACAAACCCTAAGCCCCACAAGGAACAACTCCAAAATACAAAATCACCTAATGAAAATAAAACAACCTAATTAATCATAAATAAACCTTCAGAATTCCATTTCAAATCTAAATTCAAATCAATCATCTTTCCCTAAATAAACCTTCCTAATTCTCTCCTAAATCTGAATTCAAATCAGACCTCTTTCCCTAAATTCTCTCCCAAATTTGAATTCAAATCACTTGAAAAAGGAGTAATAGACTGCTACCAAGAGGGGTGCTCTTTCCTCAAATAAACCTTCCTAATTCCCTCCTAATTTTGATATTCTATGATAAGTAATTAAAGGTAGAAGTAATCCTCTTTGTGCACCCCCCTCTCCGTGCCCACCGGCCAAACTAGTGGGGCCCACAAGGCTCTTCCACCTGCCAGCTTGATCGCCCCCCTTGTTGGGGCCGGGTTGATTGGATAGACCGGCTCAGCCAGTCTATCATTTTGATGTAATCCAACAAAAATAGAAAAATATTGGTCAAACTACCTTATATTTAAATACAAGTAACAACTCTTATATACATATCCTTAATGACTTGAATATAAGCATTATTAACTCCTTTTTTTCCTGTATCTCTCTAGAGCACTTCTCTTGAAACTTTATATGTTTTCTCTAAATCAATAAATAATATATGTAAATCCTCATTGCTCTCTTTATATTTCTCCATCAAACCTCCAAACAAATAAATAGCTTCCACAATAGACCTACCCGACCTAATGAATTGGTTTTCTTTCTAGAATAGTAGTTCATACCACTCATTATAAGTAATTGTTGTTTATTATAGGATAAATGTATCATTCTTTGTTATGAACATAATCTAGCTTACATAGTAGGTTCTTTGATAATTGGCCAGATTGTCAATCCTGCTTTTACAGTTATCCACTAAGCATATGCTTATTGGTATCTTTTTATGCTCATAACAAATTAATCAATTGTATAGATGGATTTATCTTAATTTATTATTGCATAAACTCCTATATGTTGAATATATTCAATGTAATATAAGATATTTTTCATGTATGTTACTCGTACTAAATACAATAAATTATATTCCATCAAATCATACTTTATTATAAAATAGAAATGGTCATATTGAATATAAAAAAGATGTTAAAAACTTACAACAAGCATAAAAACTATATATTTGTGCATAGATCGGTAGAAAACTTCTACATATTTGTTAGTTGGTCGATGAGTAATGACTTTATAGGACATCATTTGATTTTTTTAGCTTGGTATTTTTCTTCCCAATTTTAAGGTGTTTTAATAAAATTTACTATATATATGTAAGCAAATCTAAATTGAAAATAATGAATGTTTAATGAGTCATATTTTGATATGTAGATATGGTTGCATATAAATGTGATGGAATAGACATTTATTATAGTTAATTATACACACTGATCATGAACATCACTATACTAGAATTTGTTATAGAACATGTGATATGTTCATTTATGCATAGACATCTTACCTTAACCTGAGAATATGATAACTTGATTTTACTAAGAGTACATAGACACTCATGCCCTTTCTATTTTCATGTTGCATGCCCCAGATCCTTATTATTTATGCTTCAAATAGATAATAATTAATTGCTAGATTGAATTCTCAAATTTACTCATTGTTAATTTTTTTCCATAGTACATTCTTCCAAAATTTGGTGGACCGTCACCACAGGAGCAGACTTATCAACAATAGGATCTCCTTTGATATTTTAAGTTTTTGTAATAGTCTATTTGTATTTGTTTTAGTTAGGATAGTTTTATTTTTGCAATTATTTCTTTCAAGTTTCTATTCATTAGTTATTATTCCTACTTCATTGATGATCTCTTAATATGAATTTTAGTAATTAAATGAAATATATGTTCATTTTTTGTCATTTACTCTCATAAGTTGGATCTATATTATTTGCATATGAAATTTTCTTTGTGAGTACAAAATGTGTTTTATATCCCTTTATCAAGTCCCGTGTTGCCAACGCATACCGCCTTCGAACTCTGGGTGTGTTACTTTAAGACCTATTACTCCTAAAATATATAAGTTAATGCTATCAACTTATTTCCTAGCACAATTAATTACTCTTATATTGCAAACGCAGAAGCTCTAATAGATGTTTTCCCAAAGACAAAATGAAAATCTCCATTTTTTAAATGGAAAAAAGAAGTTCTCAGTTTATCACAATGATTGTCTCTCATGACTCTTTTTGTTCAGACTTTATTTCTCAATGAAAGCAACAAAATATGAAAGACAAACTATGTACAATTTGGAGTTTAGAAAGTAAATGAAGAAACTAGCAAAGCACTTCAAGTTATGAGAGATGCAGCGAAGAAAGCAAAAATAGGAATATGGGAACACAAGATTTATGGTTGGTAAGCCTAGGAAGAGGTTTTATTCTCGGTAAGAAAATGATTATAAAATTTCTCACTTGCATGAGAAAAATGATTATTTGGAGGGCAGGCAAAAAAAATCCTCGAAAAAAGAACTAGCCTCTCCATAAATCTCCTGACTTTCTCTCCTTTTTATTCCTTTCATAGTATCCTTATATACATTATAATGAGATCCCAATCATTGTCTTCCATTATTATTCCCTTTAGTGGACCAGTGGTTGGTTATTTTTAATCAGCATTAATAAGTCCTCAAATGATCTATTCTTTATGAAAAACAACCATATCTTTATGATGAATGATTTTCTTTTATTTATTTTCTCTTTGGTTTTAGTAGAATAGATTTTCATAATGAACAATTATGATCACAAGAGGATCTCTTATCTTGGCAGTTATACATCCAAGCGAATCTTTCAAATAGATCCTATTTGAGCTAAATAGCTAAGCAAATTTCATCTAGAGGTTAAATCAATTTAGGCTTCATTTAGTGTGGCTCTTTGACTATTTTTTAGTAAAAAATAATGTTTATTTGGATGAAAAAAATGGGGCAATTTGAATTCTCACCGATCACCATAACCATTGACAACAACTACAACAACCCTTTTTTCTGCATTCTGTTGTTGCCTTCTCCAATTATTGAGATGGGTGGCATCATATAACTTCTTCATGTAAGCGCAATTTGTTCAACTAGACAATCCTCGGTGGTGATTTCCTTCTCTGATTTTTCACATAAAAAATTCTACGCCTACCTTCTACTTGATTAATGTTAGATCAAAAGAGGCAAGGCAATTGAAATTGATCTTCAAAACTGGTTCGATTTCCAAAAAGTAACAAGAAGGAAAACCCAATTTTACCATGAAAGAATCCGGTGATGATTACAATTGAAAAATAATGACTGAATAAAATTGACAACTTCATATCCAGGATTGCAAAGTGGTGAATATGACAATATAGACAGTGAATGGAACCTGACCAAGTCTCAATGCAGGTTGAGCAGAAGAACTCATGGCAATTAAAACAACAGATCCTGCGCTCATCTTTATTCTCCCTGGCCCTGCAACGATGACAAACCTTCTTTCTGCGACCTATCACACTTCTGGAAAAAGGAAGCTTCTGCCCACAAAACAAGAAAATTTTGAAAAAAAGAACCTTTTAGCAAGAAAGACAGCCAGGGTGCCACGCCAACCTTTACCAATGGCACCAGCTCAGCATTCTTCGATCGGAAACGCCGCTCAAACAAATACCCTTCATCAGACCCGATCTTCCAATGGAGCCAAGGAGATGCATTAGCCGGAACACTCACAGGCGCTGGCGAGATCGCCATCACACCATTGGGAAGGTCCCTCGTGACCTCTACATTGGTGGCCTCCATCCCTTCATCTCTCTCCTCTTTCTGCTTTGTCCTCATCTGCTCTTCCCCCGGCAGCCCCCAGTTCATCCGCTGAGGCCGCTGCTTCCTAGCTAGAGACTGATTAGTGGCAAGGCGCAACTCCCGCTTGCGTTTAGCCCCTGAAGCCAACTTGGAGTTCTTCCTTTTACCCTGGTTGCGTCGCAACTGGAGGTAATGATACTCACAGAAGCCAACACTAGGCACAGACAGTTGAGGACACCGCCATTTTCGACCGTCGGATCGCCGACACCGTAGGTGATCCGGTAGAGAGAGGTCTTTCATAGAAGGTTGCGGATCTCCGGTGAAGTACAACCTACAATTGGGCTTGGTGGCCGCCTCCTTGTATCTGTTGTTGTCCTCTTTGCAGCAATGCTGGTCGTTGTCACAAAGATTTTGGGCCGGCGTAGCCGGCTCGACGGCCTCCATTTCTTCTGGAGTGGAATACTCGGCGGTCTCAGCTTCCATCTCCCTTTGCTCCGCCTCGCCATTTTTGCTGTTGTCCTCTTTGCAGCACAACAGTTCTTTATCGTGCAAACTTAGTTCAATCGTGGCCAGCTCCACTGCCTTCAAGCCCTGCTTATTTTGCTCCATCCTCATTAGATCCTCCACAAGCTGCTCCCCCATCTGACTTCGCTGCATCTGCTTTGTCGAATGCCGTGGATTGACGGGAAACTGAAATCCCCGATCGGACTTCGCGACCTTTACCATTGTGTTCTTGTTGTAGGTCTGTTTGCAGCGCATCTGGTGATGCTCGCAAAAGCCAAGACCAGGAATGGCCGGCTGCGTGCACCGCCATTTCCGGCCATCGGAACGCCGGCACCGGAACGCATCTGGAATCGAAAGGTCCCTCGTCACTGCAGGTTCAGCAGCCTCCATGTCACACGTAATCTCTTCCCGCTCCGAGATCTTCATCGACTCCTCTGCCCTAGTTCCCCCCTTCACCCGCCGCCGCCGTCGACGATTTATCGACGGCGTCGGATCGGCAACAAGGCGAGGACTCCGCTTGGGCTTTGGTTCAATTACCTTGTTATTCTCTTCGTTTGGCTGTTTGCAGCGTACGTGGCGGCGACCGCCGAAGCTGAGAAAAGGCATAGATGGCTGCGAGCACTGCCATTCTCGGTCGTCGAATTGATGATGCTGAAATTTATCCGGCGAGGACAGGCTCCCATTCAGCTTCAGGTCAGAAGATTTTCTCTTTAGATCTCCTTCATCCATCTTCTCCAACAAGATCGGCGCCGCCGCCGCCGGATCCTTCCTTATTCGCCTCCGCCGTCTCTTTTCCGACAGTGGCGGATCGGCCGCAAAAAGAAGCCTCCGTTCGGGCTCGGCGGCTGCGGCAGCCACCACATTGTTGTTCTTGATGTTATCCTGGTTACGGCGTAACTGCTGGTAATGGTACTCACAGAAGCTGAGACCAGATTTGGCCGGCTGCGGGCACCGCCATTGCCGGCCATCGGATCGTCGGCACCGGAGATTGTCCGGTAAAGAACTCACCTTGCCGGAAAACAACCTTTTACCCATTACTTGCAACGACAACCGTGTTCTATTTCCTTATGCAGCACGGAAGAAAAGGGAGACAGAGATCACACTACGAGAATAGACGAGAGAGAAGTGAGATTAGCACTCTGTTCCGAAATTTCTTACAGACGGCCTATAGAAGATTTCCTACTTGTTTTTTTTGTAATAAGCTTATTTAGCTATTACTTTACCTTAATAAATTCTTCTACAACTCGTCCACATAGTCGGGAGAATTATAAGTTGCGGTCAATGCACCCATCCTCTGCTCTTATGTAGAGAGTAATTAGTATACTAATTAAATTCATATTTTATTTAATCTAGTCTGACCGAAATAAAATTTGGGTTTTTCAAAATGAGTTTTCCCTTTAAATATATAGTGATAACTCACCAGCGAATTAGTTAGACTCAAATATTCATATCATCCTAATTTCATTTTGGCAAATTTAATTTAGAAATGATCATTTTGATGAGATAAACTTAATCATTAAAGAATGTTCTGATATGAGTCTAATTGAACCTAAATAGAATATTTAAAAATATGTTTGAAAGCTTCATGAAACAATTTAAGAGATCAAGGAAAAAATCATGGGATACGAGTCAATTAAATAACTTGATTAATGTAAGTTATATATTATAAATTATGCACTTTTTTATAATTATATAATGTATAAATACAATGTAGCAAATATTAATTGTGAAAATTGGCTTCTATAGTAAAAACATGAGGAGTCTTAAGGCATTCAAATTATTATCAAAAGATATTCAAAAATATGCTCAATCATTCTCCTTATAAGAGAGAAAAACAATGACAAAGAGGTTGCCATCGTCTTCAATGACGATGATAGACATTGGCCTTCTCAATGATGACAAATCGTAGCAATTTTCTTGGTCGCTAGTATTTTCTCCTATAGAAAAATGATCAAGTAGACCCTTTTCTTTTTTGGCTGACCAAGTAGATCATTAAATGTCCATTAATGATAATATTAGAGTTTCAAAGTTTCTTATGCTTGTATTATGAAAGTAATATTTCACAATTTATATTGACTACATTGTATTAATATCTTCTCTAAATCATAGAAAAATGCATCTTTTATAATATATGACTCATACCACTAAAATTATCTCAATTAGATTAGGCCCAATATTTTTCCTTTCTCAAAATTTTCATGCAAAAATTCTCAATATCTAATTATAGCATGTCTCCAGCCAACCTTGTTGCGTCATGGAATATTCACGGCGGTAGAGAAATATAAAGTTTAATGTCTTAGCTTCGTACGAAGATCCAGCACACAATCAGATAAAAATATATGATTAAATATTTATAAGAGACACCAAGATTTTGGCATGAAAAATCCTGAAAATGGAAAAAATCACGGGGCCTAGCTTAGTTTAAATAAATCCACTAGTATTTTCAGTTGATTACAAATGAGGACCTTCATTGGAGGGAAGGCCTCAGCTTCAAATATATATCATATAGAATGCATTAAATGGTGGAAATTGGAAGAATTAATATTGATATGTCCGTATGGTCAGCAGGATAAAAGTTGGAGGGCGACGGAGGCCAAAAAGATTGTATTCGAGTGACGGTGGTCGGAATGATCATACTCGGCGGGAGATGGAGGTCGAAAGGATCGTATTCAGATTTGTATTCAAAATGAAATGGGGAAGAAGTGGACTTTGATAATCTTAAAATGGATTTTCTTATAAAAATATATCTTTAGGAAAGATATGTAATTATGTCAATTATTCTATTTTTGCATAAAATCCTTATTAATTATTTTATAACTTCAAAATAATAGTTTTAAAAATTATAGAAAAATATTCATAAAATATTTTAACATGTCTAGATGACCCTTATGAAATTAGTTAACAAAATAGACTTCTAACAAACCCAGAAAATCTACTTATCCCAACATGCATCAATTTTTTAAGGAATTACAATTAAATATCTACAAAGTCTATAGAATTAGGAAAAAAATACTATAATTAGAGCACATCAATTTATATGTTAAGGTAAAGACGATTTATAAAATGGACTTATAGTGACTCATGAAATATTCTTTGACTATTGTATGCCAAAATATGAGTTATTATAATTTATTACTTAAGCAAGGGATAATTTATTAATTTATTTACTTTATTTGTTTTGAACTATGATGTGTTCTCAATTTTAGCTATTTTATATAGTTAGAGTCAAGTGGATATAAACATGCAAAAAATAAATTAATAGATTATTGATGTTGACTTCACATATTAGTCAATAATCAAATAAACAATAACTTAATAATCCTCAATTTTTTTTTTGGGAAAATTTGGGCTTTGCCCGTATATAGATATGAAAAAGAAGGTTACATATGAGTAAAGCAAAAAAGAGCCTCATACAAAAAGAGGTGCAAAACACATTTTTATCTATTTGAGCTGGATCTTCATACAAAGTTGAAGCATTAAAATCTGAGCTATCTTCTTGAATATTCTAAAGCACAAGTTGAACAATAATTATGTAACTTCAACTACCTTACCTTAGATCTAAGTATGGGCGGATCCCCATAGTAGTGAGGGGGGGCATATACCCACCCTCAAATTTTTTTTAAAAAAATTTTATAGGATATTTTTTTGGGTATTTTGCATATTTTGCCCCCTCTTAAAAAAATTTTTTACCCTAATTTTATCAATCCTAATCATTTTTGCCCATCCCCTACCAAAAAAATTTTTTTTGCCCACCCTAAAAAAAGAAGCTGGATCCGCCCCTGGATCTAAGTGTGTAAAATTATGTGTTGTATTACTTATTATTATCAAAGAAGAGCCTCATACAAAAAGAGGTGCAAAACACATATTTTTATCTATTTGAGCTGGATCTTCATACAAAGTTGAAGCATTAAAATCTGAGCTATCTTCTTGAATATTCTAAAGCACAAGTCCAACAATAATTATGTAACTTCAACTACCTTACCTTAGATCTAAGTGTGTAAAATTATAAGTTGTATTACTTATTATTATGTATATATAATACATAATGTCATTTACTTTTGGATCTCTTCCATCCATTTAACTCTTTGACCATATTTTTATCATTCACACCATATAGTAGAATCAAGAAAATTAATGGCTGACTAAAAACTTGATGGATCGTCCAACCTATGTTGAAAATTCACCAGCATTGCCTTCTTCATCTGTGCCTCTTATCGACGAGTAATTATTACGTCCGATGCAATTATTAACTATGTTGAAGTAGATTTGCAAATGTAGGCTAATGCCCCCAGAAGTATCAGAAGTAACATTTTGCATGACAACAGAGATTCTCTGGGACTATCTTCCCATGCAATGGAGAGTGAGGTAAAAAAATAAATAATAGACAATGAGAATGAAAACTGAATCAGAAATTCCCAACAAGGCATCAGAGAGGATGACTATCAAAACATACACAAAAATCAATCCTTTTCACTTAAGAAAAAAAAAACATACTGATTTTTCTTAAATTTCAGACAAGCACTGCTTTCATACAGCATCACCAGTTCGGTCATTCAGAATCAATATATTGCTCGTGAAATTGCCCATTTTCACGAGGATGTAGAATCATACCAGAAATCTTTAATTTTTTCCCCTAATACAAATGACAGTAGTTACAAATAGAAAAAATATTTATCAGATTTCTATGACCTCAACCACCTCACCAGCCTTTTCCAATGAGCCATAACCAATCTAACGAAACACCTGAAAAAATACCACCCAAAAGAAACATAACCAGCACATTTCCCAAAGCATTTGCCTCCGGTCCCTGCATGAGAAAGCTCATTATCACTCCATGATGCAAGATTTTAACTAAGGGTTCGTTAGGGACGCCTTTCTTATTGCTTATGAAGCAACTTTTAAGTATAAAAATTAAAAAAATTTATACTAAAAAGCTGCTTTAAAAAGTAGTAAAAAAGCCGTCTTAAACAAAGCATAAATTAACAGTTGAATGCAAATATTTTCATAGTTACATTTACCTTGTATCCCTTGGGTGCTTCGGTTAGAACACAAACAGTGAGATGACCATTAGTGAGCCCTAACAACGATGTTAACATGATCATCCAACCTTGCCCTCCATATTTTGCAGTGAAATAAAATGCAGGGATGAATAGGAAACGCGAAATAATAGCAATCATAAGGCCTTTCCGTGATTCTATTCGAAGACATTTTATCAGAGGTGTGTATCTTCCAATAAGGTCCAGCACATTATACATTGCAATCAAGACAAGAACATACCTGAATAGTGACAATATATCTTTAATTGAATAGTAAAATGAGAAAATAGATGCACTAGAAAGAATGTAATAATATAGGATGACAACATTTATGGCTCAAGATACTTAAGATAGAGCATATTAAGGTGAGATGTGAATGATGATGAAGTTATCTAAGCATAATATAAGGCCGTTTTGTCATCAAGAAAAACACAAGCCCAAGTAAAATGCATTTTTGTGTGTAAGAAAATGCTGCCAAGTACTTCCTCTGGCTATTGAAAGATGGAAAACAGAAGCTTACCATGATCCCAGGGCATGATTTCCAGTATCCTCAGACAAAAAGCCAGGGAAAATTGACAGTGTCAGAACATAAATAAGATACAAGCCAATTTCATAATCCAAGTTCTGCATTAGCAGCTGTCTAATGGTCAAGCGTTCGTATTGCTTTGGGTCTTCTTCTGCCTGTATTTAGTAGAAAAAATCTATTTGTTTATGGAGCTTTATAACAATACCATCAAAAACTGAATTTAGGAATTAAAAGAAGAAAAAATAAGCTAAAATACATGGAAATACTGACCTCTTGTTTAATCTGCAATTGGACGCCAGCAGCTGCTAGGTCAGCAGAAACCGTCTTTGATCCTTCCGAAGCTGCCTTGGATCGATAATACTTGACAATTGGTAGCTTCGGAAAGATGTACGCATAAAGTAGAACACATAGCAGCTCTAAAAAGGATGACACTGCAAAGAACATCACTGCAAGAAAGCAATCCAAATTCCAAAATTAGCCATGAAATAATCTCATTTTGTTTTCCAAGCTAGATGAGACAAGATAACAAAAGACTGAATTGGCGAGAACTTATTCTGTTGATAATAAACGGATTTTACGTACTCGCTCCCTTTCGAAGACCATCATGACTGTGTTCAAAACCTGCCTTTGTAATCAGCCTCAAAGCAGATGTTAAAGCTCCAGAAGCAGCCAAACCAGCCATGAATGACTGTGAATTCACAAGATGACAAAGAAAAGAAAAGAAAGGCAAGAAAATTGAATACAAAGATTCCTGGAAGTCGATGAAACGTGACAGGCCATGAATGAATTACCTGAATAAACTCTGGTTGCATAAGGGCCAAATCACCAACCATGCCTCCTTGGACATTAGCATCAGCAACACCAAAAGCTGCACTAATAAGGCATATGCCTACGAATGCTCCAACGCCTCCTTTTCCAGATGTTGCCAAATCTAACTGAAATATGAGTGAGCGCATCGATCAAATTTTATTTAATTAAGGCAAAAAACAGACGGGTTATGTGATGAAATTTCAAGAGAACTTGCACGTAGATGCTTCACTTACAATGATTAATAGAAACGAGCTTATGAAAAAGAGGATGTAGCCAAATATGTTCCTCATTCTGGTATTGAGCTTTGCTTCATGATATGTGAGTATTGCAATAGTCACGAAAGCAAAAGGCTGATAAACTAGCGTAAGTATTCTTGTAGGATGGTACCTCTGAAATTTTAAGAAAAACATCGAGATATTAGTTTAGCAAATATTTTTTTTTTTCTGGAGGGTTAAGTCATAAGAACCTACAAGATATGATGTGGAAAACATCAGTAATGAAAATGAAGTTACTATTCTACTAGTCCATTAAGAGAACCTTGCTTGCACTATTTTTCAAATGGACCCATTAATTCATTCCAAAATGCTGAACCCAGAGTATATATGAACGAAAAGTCATAAGCAAAACTATTTCAAAACACCGGAAGAAAATTCATGGCACAAGTTAATGTCTTTTTTCACTAATCAATTTATCCATTTTTTTCTATTTGAAGGCTAAATAAAACCGAATTTACAAAAGATCATATCCATCGCTGGGGATATATCATGTAGTTCAGGATTAAAAAAAAGTTACTTATTAAAATACATATAGTTATCCAATTAAAATCAGCTTTCATTTTACACAACATAATGAAAACAAACTACTAAACAACAGGTCAGAGTTCATAGAGGAGCATACCGGGAATACTTCAGCATAATAGTCTACAATTGTTAGCATGCTATTCCATGAGATGAGAGAGCCATTTCCTAGGAACCAGCAAACAACAATAGCAGCAAATCTCCCCTGTGCAACCAGAAATCATTTAATCACTCAATGACTCAAGTGACACAACATGGAAGAAAATGAAAATCAGGCATACAGAAATAACCTTTTTCGGTACTGCTTCCTCATTTTCAGTATCATAAACCATGATTACTCTGCTTCACCTTCTCCTTTACATGTATTGAGAAACAAAAGTTTAGACGCAAGTATATTGACAGAGTAGTTCGGAAAGGTTATTAGAACAAACCCATCAAACAGGAGATTGCAAGTTTATTCAAAAATGAAACTAAATGTACAGCTGAGCTTTCAGAAATAGACAGGCCGACAACATCAAAACTTATATAACTGATAAGTTGCTCCTAAGTAAGATGGAATATAGTAGTTGAAAACATCGAAAAGGAAAGTTGAACCGTAAATAGCATTCACAAAGATGAAAATGCACCTCAAGTCAGAGGAAAACCGAAGCATTAAACAACGCTCAAATTCAAAAGACAAGAAGACATTATTTTAGTTAATTAAGGGATTTTGGTTTGAAGGGATGGGGGGATGTAAATTCTTTTTACTCCATAATTTCATATTGTGTTTCGTTTCAATGAAATGCACAAGTAATTAGATTAACCTGCAAAATTTCGATACATTTTAATAAACAATTCCCATCCAGCATCAATGAAAAACGGGAAGAAAATTTTGTTGGATTATCATTGTAACTCACATATATCCTCCTAATAAAAAGAATCAAATAATTTCTCATAAATTAAACAGCTAAAAGAACTATTTCTTCATTTGATTCCTCATCAATCAAAAAAGTTGGTAAAAACTATCACACCTTGGGTCCTATGAAAAAAAGAGATTGAAGCCCTGTTTGATTGCCCGAATTAGGAGGGTAAAGTAAAACAAATACATATATTTACTAAATTCGGCTGTTTGGTTAATTTTGAGCGGAACAAAAGGAAATCATCCGATGCATTAGGCCTGTAATACGGGGACTGTTTTGCGGGAATTAGAAACCCGCTCATATCGAGCGGGTTATAAATTCGCTCGACGAAGATTTACTTGGTGTCGTTGCTGTTCGGCTTCATTGCTTCGCAGGTGTTGTAAGATTGCACGAGAGGCTTCTTTGTCTCTTTCGTTCTTCTCAGATTTCGTGCGCGACGACGTTCCCTTTGCCTGTTTGATCGGAAGTTGCGCCATTTTCATCGGAAGTAAGGACGGGAGCTCGAGTTCGCATCATCGTCGTTGCTGTTCGGCTTCATTGCTTCGCACGAGGTGTAAGATTGCACGAGAGGCTTCTAGGGCTCCTTTGTTCTTGTTCGACTTTGCTCCTTCGACCACGTTCCCTTTGCTTGTTTGATCGGAAGTTGCGTCATTTCCATCGGAAGTAAGGACGGGAGCTCGCAATTTCTGAAGGTAAATTTATCCCTTTCGCGCTTGTTCGGCCAAATCCAGATTTGTTAAGTAAGGTAACTCTCTCTTCTTCTCTGTCGATTTCTCCAATAGATGAAAATCAAGGTTTTTGAACTTGCTGTAATGTTTGGTTCAGAACTGAAGCTTTACTGTTCAACTTCCTTACAATCTTCTCCCTTTTTTTCTGATAAAGCTTTTTGGAGAATTTTTACTAGTCTCATGGCTTCACAAAATGGGATAATTGCTTCTTGTTGTTGTTTTATTACCATTGATTTAAGTTTCACAAAATTAGTCATAGACTATTATTATTTTACTAATCTTGTAAAACAAATTGAAGTACTGAAATTGTCTAGTAAGCAGTTTTGAAATGTTGGCAAAGTTGTTGAATCTTCGCTCTACTATTAAGTCGGCAACTTAACTGTTGCTGATATTAGCAAATTTTGAACATAAAATTTGGACTACATTAAAAAGAATTTGATGTATAAGGTGGTGGTGTATGTGGATTTTAAGTAGAAGTTAAGAATATGTTCCTTATATTATCTCCTAAATGGTTATTTACAGGAGTTGAAGGAGATTTATTGTTGCCCCTAATGATTAAACTGGTAGATAACTGAAACTTGTTACCGCTTTGAAAGCCATTCTAGATCTATATACCTTTTAACGGATGGTGTCATTCTTTATAAAGAATTGAAGATAGCAAAGCTAGGATTTGATGCCATTGAATATGGTGTTGAAGGGATGATCAAGCAATCATATTTATTTGAGCTTATCTTTTTTGTCACTTTATCTGTATATGTCATTATAAACATATCAATTTGAAGGCTTTTTTGCCTCTATATGGGCTTACATTTGTTGCTCTATTTATACAAATCATTACAAACATATCAGCTTGAGGATCATTTTGTCTTCATTTGAGCCACCTTTGTTATCTTATCCGTATAGGTTCTCATAAAAATATCATTGCCAACGTATTCTACATAACATGACATTTCTTAAGTTATTTTATTTTCATTGCTCAACATTTGAATGCATATAAAAATTAATTTTACCATGCCCTTCAATTATGGGCATTCATTTGAAGCTTATAAGTGTTGATTATCCTAATTTTAAAAATATAGCATTTTAATAAAATACAAACATAGTACTAATGCTTCAAATTACATTTTTCATAATTGAAAATGGTGTGTAATTATGTAATCATAATTGGTAGATTATAAATGTGCACTTTGTAATATGAAATTTCTTTTAATGCATAGTGTCTAACTTATAAAATTTACAAACAACAGCCTGCTTTCAGTGAGAAGGAATGATAAAAATATTAGCAAAATGGATCAGCTTCATTAGACTTATCTTCTCTTAATTAAGAAATCTCATGGAAACTAAACATCTAATTTTCTTTTAGAAAAAATATGCAAAGTTTGACATATCCTTGTAAGTACGAGTACCCGAGTTGCAGGCATAGATTAAATATCATTTTATTCTAATGCAAGATCCTGGGCATTTCATTGAATTTTGACATTCTAAAATCGACGAATTTCATCAATAGGTCTTCAATAAGTAGTAAATTAAGAGAATCATGATACTCCATTCCTTTGCTTCATATTATGAATTTAACTCACTTGACCAGTTACAAAATGTGCATCTAATTAGCAAGCCATAAATCTATATCTTTCACCTAAAAAATGCTTTGGTAGAACAGAAAACTAAGATATGTAAATGGATGCTTTTAATTGTTTGATTTACTAAAATTATTCATTTTCCTTCTCCATCAGTTATCCTTTTTTGTTATTGTATTTCATTTGCAATAACTTAATCTACATCCTACCATATTTTTATTTTTCATGTCTATGTTGAAATTGGATGATTTAATTATATATTTTTTGCTTTAAGTTGAATTTTGTAGTTACAAAGATGGTTCAGTCATTAGAAGATGTTGCTGAACTCCGTGAAATTGAAAAAAATAATGATGCAATGAAAGTGATTTGTATTGCAATTAGTACATTATGTGTACTATCGCAGAAGATTTGAGAAGAAAAAAAAATTATGATCCTCAACGGAATATACAACGTGACACATATCTTTCTAGGCGTCCAGTTTCGGGACATTAAGTTCAAGGACGGCGTCCTGTACATCCCCCACCTTTTTATCCACGACGAGACCAAATCCCTCTTCCTAATTCTCATAGTCTTCGAGCAGTGTCATTTGGAGTGCGGCAATCACATAACCTCATACCTTACCTTTATGAATAACCTCATTAACTCGGAGGTGGATGTCGGATACTTGCATGACAATGAAATTATCGAAAATTGGCTCGGGAGCGATGGGGAGATGGCCGATATGTTTAACTGGCGTTGCCAGGAGGTAGTGTCCAACATTAATGATTGCTACTTGTCAGAGCTACCGGAGCAGATGAATCGCTACTATAACAATAAATGGAATACTTTGAGAGCCAGCTTTAACCATAAGTACTTTAGTAATTCATGGGCTTTCATCTCTTTGATGGTTGATGTTGTCCTACTTTTGCTTACTGCTTTACAGATGTTCTATACTGTTTATCCCTATTACAAGCCAAAGTAGCAACTTTTGCTCTCCGATGGCTTCTATTAAGACTTTTATTAGTTAATTATAAATAAATGTCTTAATATAAGCCATCGGAGAGCAAAAGTTGCTACTTTGGCTTGTAATAGGGATAAACAGTATAGAACGTCTGTAAAGCAGTAAGCAAAAGCAGGGCAACAGCAACCATCAAAGAGATGAAAGTCCATGAATTACTAAAGTACTTATGGTTAAAGCTGGTTCTCCAAATATTCCATTTATTGTTATAGTAACGATTCACCTGCTCTGATAGCTCCGACAAGTAGCAATCATTAATGTCGGACACTACCTCCTGGCAATGCCAGTTAAACATATCGGCCACCTCCCCATCGCTCCCGAGCCAATTTTCAATAATTTCATTGTCATACAAGTATCCGACATCCACCTCCGAGTTAATGAGGTTATTCATAAAGGTAAGGTATGAGGTTATGTGATTGCCGCACTCCAAGGCACTGCTCGAAGGTTATGAGATTAAGGAAGAGGGATTTGGTCCCGTCGTGGATAAAAAGGCGGGTGATATACAGGACGTCGTCCTTAAACTTAATGTCCCAAAACCGTTTCACAATTATAAAATGTGAACCCTACTTTCCTCTACAAACTCAAGTTAAAATTGTGATTGTCTGTTGCATACTGCATAATTGGATAATTACAGAAGGTGGCGATGAGTTCATTCAATCTGAGGATGAATGGGGCACTGCTCAAAGGTTATGAGATTAAGGAAGAAGGATTTGGTCCCGTCGTGGATAAAAAGACGTGTAATGTACAGGACGTCGTCCTTAAACTTAATGTCCCAAAACCGTTTCACAATTATAAAATGTGAACCCTACTTTCCTCTACAAACTCAAGTTAAAATTGTGATTGTCTGTTGCATACTGCATAATTGGATAATTACATAAGGTGGCGATGAGTTCATTCAATCTGAGGATGAATGGGCTAGAATGAGTCACTGTAGAAGAAGAGATCAAGCAGTTGTAGATGATTTGCGAGAATGGCTAGATAAAAGAGATGAAATTGTTCAATTCATGTGGACTCGCATGCAAAATGATGGATGTTAGATTTGTTTCTTTACTTTTTTTAAATTTACATGTGACTTTTATCTTTCTTGTCATTGATTACAGAATGATGTGCTTATTATTATTTGATTCTTTTGTGAACTACTTAAGTTGTAGTTTTGTTAATGCTTGTCATGTGAACTATAAATTGTTTGCTAAGGCATGTTTGTGAAATGCACTAAAAAAACTTTAAATTGATATTTTTTTTGCCAAATAAATATACATTGTCATTCATACATTCAGTCCTTTTTAGGAGATACATGTATTTATCCTATTTTATGTAAGGGAAGAATGAATTCGTCACAAACAGAGATGAACGGTAATTCGAAAGCAAAGAGGAAAATTTTTTATGGAGCTTAAACATTGAATGGATAACTAGATTGCTTCAAATAATGATGGAATTTGTAAATGCAAATATGTGAAGTGCACAAGGATTCAAGGACTGTTTATCAAGGTGCAGCCCAAAAAATAAAAGAGAAGTTTGGAATAGAGGTGACAGGTGAGCAATGCAAGAACCAAATAAGGCATCGAAGAAGTGTGTAAAATCACATTCAGGAGTTAAAAAAAAATCAGGTGTATCTTGGGATGAAACAAAGAAAATGATTGTCATGGGTCAAGAAGAATATGCATCACATATTCAAATATTATTTTAATCACATCATTTAAATTGATATTTTTTTTACGATTAAGAGTTTTTTCTTTATTTCTTACAGGCTTTTCCCAAGGATACTGCTTATTTAAATATTGCAATTGCAAATTATGTAGAGTTGGAGATAGTATGTGGTATTTGACATGCAACTGGAAAGTGGGCGAAATCTGGAAACTCTCAAACTCCACTTTCAACAAATACATTTAAGCGATGATGAACCCCCACAATTTATGGATGTTGGTGCAGATGGATCAATGGATACTGAGTGGTCTGAGATGCAAGTTATAGAAAATTCTACTGGAACAACAAAGAAACCGCTACCTTCATCTGGTATAGGAGGCAGCGTGAAAAGGAAGTCTAAAAAATCAACTATCGATCA